CTCGGCTGGTGGTGGGGCACCTGTGTGCCGATTTTGAACGAAATCGGGGGGGACCCCCCATTGACCCAAAATTTTGATTTTCCCATAAAAACTTTCCTATGGGGAAAAAGTGAAATTTTCATGCAGGACTGTGTCTGGGTAAACGAGAGCTTTCGATTGGTGTGGTTTTTTACCCGTTTGTGACGTCATTTCTAGGGGAAAACGGGTCATAAAGGTTTCCCTCTACCGGGGCCTTTTTTCCCCTACCGAATCTGTGCTGTGCTGAATCTGTGCTGAATCTGTGCCAACTTCCGTTACATAAAAAACGCCACGTCGATGGGCGGCGCACTGGACTTTCTGCGCCACCACTGGCTTAGGGTGGCGCCACCATCCAATGGTCAGTACGAACATCGTCGCCCCCTGTGTCCACAACTAGCGCCACCTGTCGAGCAACGCACAGGCCAACCCGCTCCGGCTCAGTCCGCTACAGAGGTACTTAATTAACAAATCCACAATGTTCTGTTCAGGCAAGCAGGGTTGTGCTTGACTCATGAGTCGAGTCAGAAATTTGACTCAACTCTGACTCAAATGAGTCAGATTTGAGTCGAGTCGGATAAAATGTTGAGCTGTTGAGTTGAGTCAGAGTTGAGTCGGATAAAAATATGAAGGTGTTGAGTTGAGTCAGAGTTGAGTCAGTAAAATAACTTTTGACTTTGAGTTGAGTCAAAAACATTTAGGAACATGAGTCAGCTGACTCAACTTTCTAGAAACAATATATAGTATAAGTTTTTCATTCTCCCCCCGCTTAACAACTTAGGCCTGGGCTGGCTGCCGGATGTTTTCACCCCCCCCCCCCTCAACAACTTTTTTATCTGAGTCAATTTTGAGTCAACACACTTAACTCAGCAAAAAATTTGAGTCAAGTTTGAGTCAACTCATATTTTCATTGAGCCGCTTGAGTCATGAGTCGAGTCAAGGGAAAAAATCAGCTCCTTGTTTGAGTCAGAGTTGAGTCAGGGCATTCTGAAGTTGAATGATGAGTCGAGTCGGCAAATTTTTTTTGAGTCGAGCACAACCCTGCAGGCAAGTAGCCTTCACATATGAAGCATTGCTATGACTACTCTTCTATAGCTGATTGATAGCTTTTGAAGGAAGGAGCTGAGTGGCTGAGCCCTACCATTCACCACTTATCACCTTCAACAAATGCTTAAGGCATGCCGTTCTTTATCACTAGAAAATATCTGACAATTTGCTGGCTCTCATTTGTGTATGATGCAACACGCTTTGCATCAGTGATACTATGACACGAAATGTTGAACACTAGCATAGGTTGCAATGTAGATCCAAGGTGTCCCAGAAGCCAGAGCAAAAATTGACACCTTAATCAACTTCATGATAGTGGCAAAACTCCACTGCTTGACTACACAGAGCACCAACTGTTTGCTCCTCTAAACTTTCACCAAAAGAAGTGTTGCTGATGTCATTTGTATATATCAGCAGTGACACTGGTAACTTCAAATCACAGGATATTCTGGTAGCATCCATGCTCTTGAATCTGGATCTTATCAATGCAGCATTGCACCTGTGAATAAGTGAAAAATGGCATAAGACAGCAGGGAAAGATCTTGGCAAGTCATAATGAGATACATATGTTTAACATGCGTGGATAAAGGACATTATATACTGAAGCAGTTAGCAAAACATTGCAGTTTAAGCACAGTTGAAATCTGATATGATGAACTGGATACAGTGACATCATCAAGACCCATGAACTGAACTTTACACAAAGTATTTGCAATTTTGAAATGCACTTTTATTGCAGTTACCTATACAAATATTCTAGAAGGTGAAAATTTATTTTTAAAAAAATAACAAAAAACTTGCCCGTATTTAGTTGCTAAAAAAGCTGAGTGAATATTCTAAAATAGTGTTCACTTCAGTGTGAATCAAAACTTAGAGTAAACAAATATTTACCTGATGAAATGAAGATATTATATCAATAATGAGTAGCTTTAGAAAGTGATGACTTTAAAAAAACATTTTGCAAGAAAGGCTATCAGTTACTTCTGGATGATATACTGCAGTGCACAAGCTGTTCACCAACTCCTACCTGGTCTTTCCCTCTGGGATCCCTCTGTATGCACCTCAGAACTTCATCTGCAAGGCTGGTTCCTTCATACGCAGGTCCTCTGTCTTCCTTGATTCCTCGGACTCCATCCTGACAACTCCGCACCAGAAGCAGGATTGCACTGGGCACCTGTAACAACATGTAGGATGATCAATACTTGTAACAATTCATAAATAGTAGGTAGCTTAGTGTTCTATTACATATACCTCCTGGTTGCTGGTACAAAATAGATCCTATTCGTCTTTTTCCATCATAACCTTTATCTGCATGCAATATCTTTGGTACCAGACAAAGCAGAACACTGCTAAAATGCTTGCAATGAATCCTATAAAAATGCATTGAATTTATAAAATCATTCTCAGCAGCATGTATCATCTTTTAATGCCTTTCTCAAAGGGCAGGTCAATTTCCTACATTGATATGCCCATAAACTTATACAGGTAAATTACCTCATATGGGCAGTGGCGTATCTAGGATTTCTCTCAGGGGGGATCCGCAGTCAAAAGGGCCCTTGCCTGACTTTGTTGAAAGGGCCCTTAAGTGGCAAAAGGGCCCTTGTAGCCTGAGTTGAAAGGGCGTTAACCCGCGCCCCGTAGGGAGAGGGGGGAGGCAAAACGGCCCCTGTCCTCTTCCGTAGCTATCTCCTAAATGACTGCAAATATCGCCACCAAACTTTCAGGAGCTCTCTGGGCATCCATTTTACACATTGTGACCAATTTTTTTCCAGAGGCTATGATAGGTTGGCCGCAAATGACGTCAGAATGACGTCATGTTCTGCCATTTTCGACAAAAAAAGGTTTCGCAGGAAAAGCCCCAGGCCTACAGAGCTGTAGAAACATAAAAATGTTCCGACTTAAAATGTGTAGAATGGGGATGTTCGCGCTAAGAGTTCCGAAAAGTCTCGCCAGGTGGCAGCACGGTATGCTTTGGACACAACGCGCCGGCCGGGCGCCGGCCGGGCCGGGGATAACACTGCGGGCGGCGACGGCGGCCGACGCGCCGCGAACGGAAACTGCGTTTCATGTCTTTTTCAGGTTCATCATTCTGCTAAAACGAGTAGCTACAGTTGATTTCGATATTAGGAAGACAATGACGCGTGTGAAAGGCAAACTACTACATCGTCATTGAGCGGAAGGAAAGGGAGCTGATCGAATGGTCACCAAAAGCTACGGAGTACGAAAGATACGATGTTATCACATATTTTAACTTACACAGTTGAAATTAAAAACCCTATTACATTCAGACATATATTCACACGCATGAAACAATCGATTTACAGCACACATTCCATGACAAGAACGCATACCTACGGACTTAAGTTGACCTCTAGCGCCCGTCACTGTCAGATAAGTCAATCACATCCCTGTAGTTTGTAGACTATTGACTTAACCCTTCATCCGGCGTGCGTTCATTCTGTAATGATGGGCAAAGAATCACCGGCCATTTCTGCGTGGCTCTATATGACATCCTCGGTCAGGCTTGATGGATCCACCGTCACTTTCCGCGGTACTTTTAAGACAGATGTACCTTCTACCAACACGACTGACTGATTACAATCTGATGAGGGACAATATCTCGTCGGTCTATCAGTTAAAGTTTAATATTCAGCGACACAAGTGTGAAGGCTGCCTGGAAAACTTACAACAAACTAAGTAAACTAAGCTCGGCTTGTAATGGGCACAAACTTGTAATAAAGAGGTACTTAATTAACAAATCCACAATGTTCTGTTCAGGCAAGTAGCCTTCACATATGAAGCATTGCTATGACTACTCTTCTAGAGCTGATTGATAGCTTTTGAAGGAAGGAGCTGAGTGGCTGAGCCCTACCATTCACCACTTATCACCTTCAACAATTGCTTAAAGGGACCCTCCCACCTTAACATTAGTTTTGAGTTGAGATAGCCAAGTTTGCGGCCAGGCTCAGAAACCACCATTTATCCTGGTCGCAACCCCCGCAGCTTTATGGTGTTCAAGAAATTTCTTCCCTTTACTTGCAGGGTGGGACCAGCGTGGTCCCTATCTCTTAACCATTACGGGAATCTGATGACGTCATCAGGCTTTCGAACGTCCGTTAAATGTTTGACTAAAACGTTTTGTAGGACGCGATGGAATATGCTGCTTTGCGCGCAACAAATGCCGCACTTTCAAATAAAGTCGCTAGGAACAGCGGAGATCCCAAAAAGTAAACAAAAGTAAAAGTCTAATATCTTGAAAACCGGTGAATATTTTTCGATGAAATTTGGTAGATATTCGTTTTTGCTCTTTCTAAACCGAGCGACATCACTTTCATGCCAATTCATTAACTTCTTTGAAGGTGGGAGGGTCCCTTTAAGGCATTCAGTTCTCATCACTAGAAAATATCTGACAATTTGTTAGCTCTCATTTGTGTATGATGCAACACGCTTTGCATCAGTGATACTATGACACGAAATGTTGAACACTAGCATAGGTTGCAATGTAGATCCAAGGTGTCCCAGAAGCCAGAGCAAAATATTGACACCTTAAAGGGACCCTCCCACCTTCAAAAAAGTTTATGAATTGGCATGAAAGTGATGTCGCTCGGTTCAGAAAGAGCGAAAACGAATATCTACCAAATTTCACCGAAAAATATTCACCGGTTTTCAAGATATTAGACTTTTACTTTTGTTTACTTTTTTGGGATCTCCGCTGTTTCTAGCGACTTTATTTTAGAAGTGCGGCGTTTGCGGCAGATGTTGCGCGCAAATAGCATATACCACCGCGTGCTACAAAACGTTTTAGTCAAACATTTAAAAATCGTTAGATATTTGCGCTGACGTCACACATTCAGAGGGGTATTCCTAAGCATTAGCCCCTCTGAATCAAAATGCTGCAATTTTGAAATTCAATATTTCCGATTTAAGGCATTTCTCGATGTTGTGAGTGCCGAAACCGAAAATTGTGAGCCAGGGACCCCATTTTGGCTATCTCAACTCAAATCTAATGTTAAGGTGGGAGGGTCCCTTTAATCAGCTTCATGATTGTGGCAAAACTCCACTGCTTGACTACACAGAGCATCAACTGTTTGCTCCTCTAAACTTTCACCAAAGGAAGTGTTGCTGATGTCATTTGTAGCAGCAGTGACACTGGTAACTTCAAATCACAGGATCTCGTAGCATCCATGCTCTTGAATCTGGATCTTATCAATGCAGCATTGCACCTGTGAATAAATGAAAAATGGCATATGACAGTAGGGAAATATCTTGGCAAGTCATAATGAGATACGTATGTTTAACATGCATGGATAAAAGGACATTATATACTGAAGCAATTAGCAAAACATTGCAGTTTAAGCACAGTTGAAATCTGATATGATGAACTGGATACAGTGACATCATCAAGACCCATGAACTTTACACAAAGTATTTGCAATTTTGAAATGCACTTTTATTGCAGTTAGGTACCTATACAAATATTCTAGAAGGTGAAAATTTATTTTAAAAAACAACAAAAAACTTGCCCGTATTTAGTTGCTAAAAAGCTGAGTGAATATTCTAAAATAGTGTTCACTTCAGTGTGAATCAAAAATTAGAGTAAACAATTATTGACCTGATGAAATGAAGATATTATATCAATAATAAGTAGCTTTAGACGGGTGATGAGTTAAAAAAAACATTTTGCAAGAAAGGCTATCAGTTACTTCTGGATGATATACTGCAGTGCACAAGCTGTTCACCAACTCCTACCTGGTCTTTCAGTGGGATCCCTCTGTATGCACCTCAGAACTTCATCCGCAGGGCTGGTTCCTTCATACGCAGGTCCTCTGCCTTCTTTGATTCCTCGGACTCCATCCTGACAACTCCGCACCAGAAGCATGATTGCACTGGGCATCTGTAACACCACGTAGGATGATCAATACTTGTAACAATTCATAAATAGTAGGTAGCTTAGTGTTCTATTACATATACCTCCTGGTTGCTGGTGTCAAAATAGATCCTATTTCAATTTGTCTTTTTCCATCATAACCTTTATCTGCATGCAATATCTTTGGTACCAGACAAAGTAGAACACTGCTAAAATGCTTGCAATGAATCAAGTAGAACACTGCTAAAATGCTTGCAATGAATCTTATAAAAATGCATTGAATTTATATAATCATTCTCAGCAGCATGTATCATCTTTTAATGCCTTTCTCAAAGGGCAGGTCAATTTCCTACATTGATATGCCCATAAACTTATACAGGTAAATTACCTCATATGGGTAATACAAGATCCAGCTATGAGTTAAGTTAGACTATTTTATACTCTTAGTTAAGTTCGCCATAAAAAAATGTCTGGAAACGTGTTACATCCATGGAATTACCGTTTGGAGTCGGTCTATCTTCGGCTTCTCGCCTCTCTTCGGCTATGTCAATTGAAGCCTTTCTAAGTCTCCTGCCCTTTGTAAACTTGCCTTTCCATGTTTGTGACACTTGCTGAATATAAATTCACAACCCATCTGAGCAAAATTCAAATCAATTGCTATCAAATTCACCGAAATTCAGCCCCTCGGACCGACACCGCACGGAATCCACACAGTGCAAAACACAGTGGCGCATTCGCCGCCACAGTTACTGTGTCCAAAGAAGGCAGTGCTGCCACCTGGCGAGGAAATAAGCCGAACATCCCCATTAACAGGCCTAGGTCAAATCTGAGCACAGTTTACAGAAAGAGCATTAAAAGAGCTTTGATTGTTTTGTTGGGTTGGGCCCAGGCCCTTTCGGTCTGACGTGTCCATCAGCGTGCTGTCGATTTTCCCCATATAAGGAACTTATTGCTGGCGCTTCTTGGCCTCTCTCTTGGCCTCTAACGAATAGACCACTTGAATTCGACCAATGAGGAACCAAGAAGTAGCAGCATGCTCACAGCGTGCTGATAAATGAACGGGGTGCGAACAGAGCTCAGGGCCGGAAGGATGATAGGAAAGGAATTGAGGGAGACATTGGTCTGGGCGGGCACCTTGGTGAGTCACCGCCCACCGGGGCTGAGCCTGTCCAACAGGACAGGCCGACTAGCCCCCCAAGTGCTCACTGCACCCGGTTACGAGCGTGCTTGATTAGGAGCTGCAGTGCGCTCCAATGGGAGCCGCCCGCATGGAATAAAGTTGCCCGTCCAGGTCCAGCCCGGATCAGGGGTTGCGGCATGGAGGAGAAGGATTTGAATGTCATGAGGATGGAAACGGCGAAACGGGTGTTGAAAGAGCTATTAACTACGCTTTTCCCCGGCACTGTAGCTCCTCATTTCCGAGTCATGCGATGGTTTGTTGAAAATTGTCGAAATTGGATCTGAAAATTGGCGAAATTTGACCTTGGATGACCTATGTGAACTGACCTTTGACCTGATCTAAAAAGTGACCAGAGTAATTTCGTCATTATTGTTTGCGTCCCTTCAAACGCTGCCTTTGGCGTGTCGTGGCTCAGAAGCCGAGTTAGAAGCAGGGGTGCGGAGCTGGAGCTGCAGAGCCGCCGGAGCCGGCATATTTTGCCCGGAGCCGGAGCCGTGAAAGAATATAGCCCGGAGCCGGAGCCAGAGCCGGAGCATTAAAAAAAGGCGGCGACTCCGGCTGCTTTTTTAACCCTCGCACCGTTGGGGGGGGGGCATTTTGCCCCCCCCTGTGGTTTTTCCTGAAAAATTTTCAGTACCTTCCCGGGCATCAATTTGACACCTTCACACCAAATTTCAAGTCTTAGGTCACCTTAGGTCAGGAGTTATTGAGGTCAAACTGAGGTCATGTTCGAGCAAAAATGAGCAAAAAACATGCAATCTTGAAACGTTTACCAAATCTACAGTTATCAAGCAATTTCAAAGTTCTTTATATGGTCTAGTAGACAAAAAGCGGCGCTACAAAACAGCTTTCTCGGATTTTCTAAATTTTGGGTTTTTGAACCAAAAAAAATCAAAAAATTGATTTTTTTTAGAAAAACTAAAAAAAATCCAAAATGTTTCCGAATTTCAAAAAAGCCGGAACATATGTGATAGTCCCTGCGCTCTTCTATGTACATACCAAATTTCAAATCGATATCTCGTTTTTTGGCCAAGTTATAGAGAAAACACTGTTCAAAAATTATGACGTCAAATTTTTGAACTCAATTTTTAGCGATTCTAGACTACGTACGGCAAAACAAAGACCACCATTGAACTCCCCGTGACGAGCTGCATCGATTCGATACCCATTATATGCAAAAATATTTACTTTGAAATTTGACCTAATTTGACCTGACCTTGACCTGACCTTGACCTGACCTTGACCAAAACGTGACCTAAGCTGGCCCCAAAGGCTGCCTGACCCACATAATCGCATTTGTCATGTAAGATAGACCATAAAACATGTATCACACGACACTTTCATATTGTGACCCCCCAGTGACCTGACCTCTGTGACCTGACCTGGTATCAGTGACCTCAAATAGTAAAATATGTGTTTGAAGAACATTTCCCCATCGATGATTTTCAATGAAATGCATTTTACTCGATTTTACAACGCATTTCTTGAAATGCCTGTAAACGATGAAAATTGGACCTTTGACCTGACCTGTGACGTCATCAGTTTGACCTAGGTCAATAAAATTGGGTCACAAGGTAGTTCCCTGATAGGGCTATCCAACACCGTTTGCCGCTTGTCGCTAGGTTGCGTGGTTCTCGAGATCTTAGGGTGGGGGCCAAAATGCCCCCACCCCCCAACAGGGCGCGTTGCTCGGCAGAGCCCAACGGGGCGCGGGTTAAGAGGATTGACCTAGTTCGGTTTGACAGTACAAGGCAGTAAAACATGTGGTATTCAAAATAGCCTTGCTATGCCTTTAATGGGCTCCTGATAGCCCATTAAAGGCTTAGCAGATCGCTTTGTGCTATAAAATTGAGCTTTAAACAAAATAGGTAAGCATGCTTATTTCATAGCCTGCCCTCAGAGGGCCCTTCTGGTGGTCTTAAAGAACCCTCAGGCCTCAATCGACCTCAGATGGACCTTTGCTGGCGTCATAAGGTCTCCGTTAGCCTGAAAGGGCCCTCCAATAGTCCCAAGGGGCCTTCTATTCTCCTTAAAGGCCCTGAGTCAGCCTAAGAGGGCCATTCAGTGGCCTCCGAGGGCACTCTTTGTCCTCAGAGGGCCTGTCATACGGCTCAAGGACCAAGGTGGTCTGAAATAGCCTTCATTTCACTTCTGAGGGCCCTCCAATGCCCTCAGAGGGCCCTATACTTGCATCATTACACCTCTTTGAGTCCTCGGAGAGCCCTCTTTGAGATGGCTGAGAGGGCCCTCTTTGATCTGAGATGGCCTGATGACCTCGTAGGGCTCATGTGGTGGCCTGAAATCACCTCAGCAGGCCCTCCAGTGGGCTCAAAGGGTCCTGTTTTTGCATTAGAGGGCTCTCTGTGGCTTCCGAGGGCCCTTTTTGATCTCAGAGGGCCCTCTTTGATCTCAGAGGGCTTTTTTGACCCTTTCGAGCTGTCTGAGGGGGCCCTCTGGCCTCTGTTTGCCTAAAAGGGCCCTCTATTCGCCTCAGAGGGCCCTCTGTTCGACTCCGAGGGCCCTCTGGTGACCTCAGCGGACCCTATTTTTGCATCAGAGGTCCCTCTGTGGCCTCCGAGAACCCTCTTCGATCTCAGAGGGCCATCTTTGAGGTGGCTGAGAGGGCCCTCTGTTCGCCTCAGAGGGCCCTCTGGTGACCTCAGGGGCTCTATTGTTGCATGAAAGAGCCCTCTGTGGCCACCGAGGGCCCTTTTTGATCTCAGAGGGCCCTCTTTGACCTCAGAGGGCTTTTTTGACATGTTCGAGGTGCCTGAGGGGGCCGTTTTTATCTCAGAGTGCCCTTTTTGACCTCAGAGGGCTTTTTTGACATCTTTGAGGTGTCTGAGGGGGCCCAGTGACCTCTGTTTGCCTCAAAGGGCCCTCTGTTTTCCTAAAAGAACCCCCTATTCGCCTCAGGGGACCCTCTGTTCGCCTCAGAGGGCCCTCTGGTGACCTCAGGGGGCCCTATTGTTGCATCGGAGGGCCCTCTGTGGCCTCCGAGGGCCTTTTTTTATCTCAGAGGGCCCTCTTTGACCTCAGAGGGCTCTTTTCGACCTATTCGAGATGTCTGAGAGGGCCCTCGGGGTCTGCGAGGGCCCTCTGAGTGCCTGAGAGGGCCCTCTGAGTGCCTGAGAGGGCCCTCTGGGCTCTGTCCCCCGTTCGTCTCAGAGAGTCCCTTTATTCGCCCCTTCAGAGGGCCCTCTGTTTGCCTCAAAGGGCCCTCTGTTTGCCTAAAAGGACCCCCTATTCGCCTCAGAGGGCCCTTTGGTGACCACAGGGGGCTCTATTGTTGCATTGGAGGACCCTCTGTTGCCTCCGAGGGCCCTTTTTATCTCAGAGGACCCTCTTTGACCTCAGAGGGCTCTTTTCGACCTATTCGAGATGTCTGAGAGGGCCCTCTGAGTGCTTGAGAGGGCCCTCTGAGTGCCTGAGAGGGCCTTCTGAGTGCCTGAGAGGGCCCTCTGGGCTCTGAGTGCTTGAGAGGGCCCTCTGAGTGTCTGAGGGGGCCCTCTGAGTGCCTGAGAGGGCCCTCTGGGCTCTGGCCCCCGTTCGTTTCAGAGGGTTCCTTTATTCGCCCCTTCAGAGGGCCCTTTGCCTCAAAGGGCCCTCTGTTTGCCTCAAAGGGCCCTCTGTTTGCCTAAAAGGACCCCCTATTCGCCTCAGAGGGCCCTTTGGTGACCACAGTGGGCTCTATTGTTGCATTGTAGGGCCCTCTGTTGCCTCCGAGGGCCCTTTTTTATCTCAGAGGGCCCTCTGTGAGCTCAGAGGGCTCTTTTCGACCTCTTCGAGATGTCTGAGACGGACCTCGGGCCTGAGAGGGCCCTCTGAGTGCTTGAGAGGGCCCTCTGAGTGCCTGAGAGGGCCATCTGAGTGCCTGAGAGGGCCCTCTGAAAGCCTGAGAGGGCCCTCTATGTGCCTGAGAAGGTCCTGATCGTTGTAAAGGGCCCTTAATTTACTCTACAAGGTCCCTCGTTGGCCTAAAGGGGTCCTCTGATAGTCCTAAAAGGGTCCCTAAAAATGTAATTGATACTTTTAATTATGTAAAAAAATGTAAGTGGTGAAAAGGGCCCTCAAAGTGTTTTCAATTTTTTTTTTCGAGTAAAAAAAAAATATTTTTTTTTGCTCCAGGGGGGATCCTAGGACCCCCAGGGTCCCCCCTTGGATACGCCACTGCATATGGGCAATACAAGATCCAGCTATGAGTTAAGTTAGACTATTTTATACTCTTAGTTATGCTCGCCATAAAAAAATGTCTGGAAACGTGTTACATCGATGGAATTACCGTTTGGAGTCGGTCTATCTTCGGCTTCTCGCCTCTCTTCGGCTACGTCAATTGAAGCCTTTCTAAGTCTCCTGTCCTTTGTAAACTTGCCTTTCCATGTTTGTGACACTTGCTGAATATAAATTCACAACCCATCTGAGCAAAATTCAAATCAATTGCTATCAAATTCACCGAAATTCAGTCCCTAGGCCCGACACCCCACGGACTCCACACAGTGCAAAACACAGTGGCGCATTCGCCGCCGCCCGCCACAGTTTCTGTGTCCAAAGAAGGCAGTGCTGCCACCTGGTGAGGAAATAAGCCGAACATCCCCATTTGGGGATGTTCGCGCTAAGAGTTCCGAAAAGTCTCGCCAGGTGGCAGCACGGTATGCTTTGGACACAACGCGCCGGCCGGGCGCCGGCCGGGCCGGGGATAACACTGCGGGCGGCGACGGCGGCCGACGCGCCGCGAACGGAAACTGCGTTTCATGTCTTTTTCAGGTTCATCATTCTGCTAAAACGAGTAGCTACAGTTGATTTCGATATTAGGAAGACAATGACGCGTGTGAAAGGCAAACTACTACATCGTCATTGAGCGGAAGGAAAGGGAGCTGATCGAATGGTCACCAAAAGCTACGGAGTACGAAAGATACGATGTTATCACATATTTTAACTTACACAGTTGAAATTAAAAACCCTATTACATTCAGACATATATTCACACGCATGAAACAATCGATTTACAGCACACATTCCATGACAAGAACGCATACCTACGGACTTAAGTTGACCTCTAGCGCCCGTCACTGTCAGATAAGTCAATCACATCCCTGTAGTTTGTAGACTATTGACTTAACCCTTCATCCGGCGTGCGTTCATTCTGTAATGATGGGCAAAGAATCACCGGCCATTTCTGCGTGGCTCTATATGACATCCTCGGTCAGGCTTGATGGATCCACCGTCACTTTCCGCGGTACTTTTAAGACAGATGTACCTTCTACCAACACGACTGACTGATTACAATCTGATGAGGGACAATATCTCGTCGGTCTATCAGTTAAAGTTTAATATTCAGCGACACAAGTGTGAAGGCTGCCTGGAAAACTTACAACAAACTAAGTAAACTAAGCTCGGCTTGTAATGGGCACAAACTTGTAATAAAGAGGTACTTAATTAACAAATCCACAATGTTCTGTTCAGGCAAGTAGCCTTCACATATGAAGCATTGCTATGACTACTCTTCTAGAGCTGATTGATAGCTTTTGAAGGAAGGAGCTGAGTGGCTGAGCCCTACCATTCACCACTTATCACCTTCAACAATTGCTTAAGGCATTCAGTTCTCATCACTAGAAAATATCTGACAATTTGTTAGCTCTCATTTGTGTATGATGCAACACGCTTTGCATCAGTGATACTATGACACGAAATGTTGAACACTAGCATAGGTTGCAATGTAGATCCAAGGTGTCCCAGAAGCCAGAGCAAAATATTGACACCTTAAAGGGACCCTCCCACCTTCAAAAAAGTTTATGAATTGGCATGAAAGTGATGTCGCTCGGTTCAGAAAGAGCGAAAACGAATATCTACCAAATTTCACCGAAAAATATTCACCGGTTTTCAAGATATTAGACTTTTACTTTTGTTTACTTTTTTGGGATCTCCGCTGTTTCTAGCGACTTTATTTTAGAAGTGCGGCGTTTGCGGCAGATGTTGCGCGCAAATAGCATATACCACCGCGTGCTACAAAACGTTTTAGTCAAACATTTAAAAATCGTTAGATATTTGCGCTGACGTCACACATTCAGAGGGGTATTCCTAAGCATTAGCCCCTCTGAATCAAAATGCTGCAATTTTGAAATTCAATATTTCCGATTTAAGGCATTTCTCGATGTTGTGAGTGCCGAAACCGAAAATTGTGAGCCAGGGACCCCATTTTGGCTATCTCAACTCAAATCTAATGTTAAGGTGGGAGGGTCCCTTTAATCAGCTTCATGATTGTGGCAAAACTCCACTGCTTGACTACACAGAGCATCAACTGTTTGCTCCTCTAAACTTTCACCAAAGGAAGTGTTGCTGATGTCATTTGTAGCAGCAGTGACACTGGTAACTTCAAATCACAGGATCTCGTAGCATCCATGCTCTTGAATCTGGATCTTATCAATGCAGCATTGCACCTGTGAATAAATGAAAAATGGCATATGACAGTAGGGAAATATCTTGGCAAGTCATAATGAGATACGTATGTTTAACATGCATGGATAAAAGGACATTATATACTGAAGCAATTAGCAAAACATTGCAGTTTAAGCACAGTTGAAATCTGATATGATGAACTGGATACAGTGACATCATCAAGACCCATGAACTTTACACAAAGTATTTGCAATTTTGAAATGCACTTTTATTGCAGTTAGGTACCTATACAAATATTCTAGAAGGTGAAAATTTATTTTAAAAAACAACAAAAAACTTGCCCGTATTTAGTTGCTAAAAAGCTGAGTGAATATTCTAAAATAGTGTTCACTTCAGTGTGAATCAAAAATTAGAGTAAACAATTATTGACCTGATGAAATGAAGATATTATATCAATAATAAGTAGCTTTAGACGGGTGATGAGTTAAAAAAAACATTTTGCAAGAAAGGCTATCAGTTACTTCTGGATGATATACTGCAGTGCACAAGCTGTTCACCAACTCCTACCTGGTCTTTCAGTGGGATCCCTCTGTATGCACCTCAGAACTTCATCCGCAGGGCTGGTTCCTTCATACGCAGGTCCTCTGCCTTCTTTGATTCCTCGGACTCCATCCTGACAACTCCGCACCAGAAGCATGATTGCACTGGGCATCTGTAACACCACGTAGGATGATCAATACTTGTAACAATTCATAAATAGTAGGTAGCTTAGTGTTCTATTACATATACCTCCTGGTTGCTGGTGTCAAAATAGATCCTATTTCAATTTGTCTTTTTCCATCATAACCTTTATCTGCATGCAATATCTTTGGTACCAGACAAAGTAGAACACTGCTAAAATGCTTGCAATGAATCAAGTAGAACACTGCTAAAATGCTTGCAATGAATCTTATAAAAATGCATTGAATTTATATAATCATTCTCAGCAGCATGTATCATCTTTTAATGCCTTTCTCAAAGGGCAGGTCAATTTCCTACATTGATATGCCCATAAACTTATACAGGTAAATTACCTCATATGGGTAATACAAGATCCAGCTATGAGTTAAGTTAGACTATTTTATACTCTTAGTTAAGTTCGCCATAAAAAAATGTCTGGAAACGTGTTACATCCATGGAATTACCGTTTGGAGTCGGTCGGCTTCTCGCCTCTCTTCGGCTATGTCAATTGAAGCCTTTCTAAGTCTCCTGCCCTTTGTAAACTTGCCTTTCCATGTTTGTGACACTTGCTGAATATAAATTCACAACCCATCTGAGCAAAATTCAAATCAATTGCTATCAAATTCACCGAAATTCAGCCCCTCGGACCGACACCGCACGGAATCCACACAGTGCAAAACACAGTGGCGCATTCGCCGCCACAGTTACTGTGTCCAAAGAAGGCAGTGCTGCCACCTGGCGAGGAAATAAGCCGAACATCCCCATTAACAGGCCTAGGTCAAATCTGAGCACAGTTTACAGAAAGAGCATTAAAAGAGCTTTGATTGTTTTGTTGGGTTGGGCCCAGGCCCTTTCGGTCTGACGTGTCCATCAGCGTGCTGTCGATTTTCCCCATATAAGGAACTTATTGCTGGCGCTTCTTGGCCTCTCTCTTGGCCTCTAACGAATAGACCACTTGAATTCGACCAATGAGGAACCAAGAAGTAGCAGCAATTCATAGGCGTAGGAACAGGGGGGGCCGGGGGGGCCATGGCCCCCCCCACTTTCGGAGGTGGGGGGGCCAGCAATGTTAACTGGCCCCCCCCACTTTTTGCTGACTTAAGTGTCTGTCTGTACCTAACCTACCACCCGGTAACTTGACAACTATTCAGCTTGCCCTTTAATGAGGATTCCTTTTTGTTTCTACAGCGTTATTGACCGCAATTTCCTTCACTCAATGAAGGAAACCATATCAGAGACAAGACTGTGAGTCCTGGTGACAGCATTTTGTTGAATACGAGGCGCGGGACAGCGAGCACTAAAAAGGTATAGGCAATACTAAGACAATACTAGCACGGTGCAGGAGAATGCGTATACAAACGACCAACGCTTGACCTTATCTGCTTGGGGTCGGCATAGTTCGTCAAAGGCGTTCTAGCTGGGGGCCAGGGTGACCGTGCCTCAGCCTCGGTTCAAACAGGCTGGGGGCCAGCAATGTCTGTTTCTGAATTCTGCCCCTCCCCCTTCCACTTTCAGTGCAGTGGCGGTCGCAGAGGGGATCAGGGCCATGCCCTTCCCCCCTCCAAAGGCTAATCAGGGGGCCATCATATCATTTGCCCCCCCAAACAACCAATGGGCCCAGTGGCGGATCCAGGGGGGGGGGGGGCAAAATGGGCATTTGCCCCCCCCCCCAAACGGCATGATTTTAACATTACGCCTATGGACGATGCATGGAAAGAATCGATAAATTTTTATGGTTTGCCCCCCCCCCCCAAACCTCTGTGCTGGATCCGCCTCTGAATGGGCCCCCATGGGCGTATGGGGCTCTGGCCCTTATTGATTGTCACGAGACTCAAGAATCCCACGTTAGCTATTAACAGCTCCCAAACCAGTCTTTGAGGGTCCTACACTGATCTCGGAGGGCCCTTCAGTGGCGGTCAAGCGACCACATTGACCGCTGAGAGCCCACATTGACCTCATTTGAGGGCCCCTAAACCGGCCTCAAGGGCCCAGCCGGCGTCTGAGGGCCTCACACCGGCCTCTGGTGGCCTCATTTCTGTCTCTGGGGTCCCAAGACTAGCCCTTAGGTGCCTTTGAGGGCCCCGCACTGAATTCTGAAGACCCGATGCCGGCCTCTAAGGGTCCGCATCGGCCTCTGAGGGTCCACCTTGGCCTGAGGGGTCCAACGCCGGCCCATGCCGGTCTTTTAGGGCCCCACACTGACCTCTAAGGGCCCATGCTGACCTGTAAGGACCCACATTAGCCTATGAGGCCTTGTACGGGATTCTGAAGACCTGATGCCGGCCTCTGAGGCCCATCTTGGTTTTTGAGGGCCTTCTGCTGGTCTCTGGGTTCCAACACCGGCCCATGCCGGTATTTTAGGGTCCCACATTGACCTCTAAGGGCCCCGCACTGGATTCCGGAGTTCCGATGCCGGTCTCCAAGGGTCCGCATCGGCCTCTGAGGGCCCACCTTGGCCTATGAGGGCCCTCCGCTGGTCTCTAGGTTCCAAGTCCCGCCCATGCCGGTCTGTTACGGCCCCACACTGACCTCTAAGGGCCCATGCTGGCCTGTAAGGACACGCATTAGTCTCTGAGGGCCTTGCACTGGATTCTGAAGACCCGATGCTGGCCTCTGAGGCCCATCTTGGTTTTTGAGGGTCTTCTGCTGGCCTCTGGGGTCCAACACCGGCCCATGCCGGCATTTTAGGGTCCCACACTGACCTCTGAGGGCCCATACTGGCCTGTAAGGACCCACATTAGCCTCTGATGGCCCAAGTCGGCATCTTAAGGTCTCATCCTGCCCTTTGCAGGCCCTGTACTAGTCTCTGAGGGCCTTAACCCTCGCCGGCCGGGGGGGGGGGCGGGTGCCGCCCCTCCGTAGTTTTTTTTTTCGCGATAGCTCCGAACACGCCGGCGATAGAGAGCTGAAGCTTGGCATACCTGACCTTTGAATCAAACGGGATCTTTTGACACCAACCGCATTTTCGGGTCAGATCAGGTCACTGACCCATGTGGTCATAAGTGAACCTCTGCACGGTCTTCAGATGTCGCAACTTCGCAACGCCCTCACTGCCAGGGGAGATTTCACAGGGAAATGAACCTTGGAGGACCTAGTATCCAATAGGAGTCTCTCAACTTGTATAATGTATATCTCGGATTTTTCCTAAAGTTCATATGAGGTCAGGTCATTTTCGTGACCTCACCATTAGGTGATGTCAATGGGGATAAACTGGAAACTTTTTCTGGCGCCGGGAACGATTGATCTCCAACTATCTCAAGCACACCGAATCGTGATTTCATGCACTCCTTGCAAGGTTCGATGCGTCACTTTTGCAGTGTTGACCTTGCGCGACGTCATTTATGAAGTTATAAGGGTCTTATTAGTTTTTCGTCTATAACTAGGTACCGATCAAATTGAGCTAGCGAGTCGGGAAAGCCACCTATGGACTCAAGAAGACCTGCCGAATCGAATGATATGCGACATGACCTCCTTCGACCAATTTCGTGACCTGGGGACGCCGACCTGACCGTGACCCGAGGTCAACACCCTAAGTTTACCTCACCCAAACAAAAAGTATATCATTCGACGCGCCTGAGAGAGGCGAACACGATGCTAGCAAAATCGCGGCTTTGCGGCCATTTTTTGCGAAGTTATTCACCAAAAACGGAACCGTGCCTTGAGGCACTTGACCTGACCTCAGAGGTCACCGGTTTTTGTTTGTTTTGTTGGGTTAGGCCCTTTCGGTCCAATGAGACCATTTCAGAGCCGGAAGGATGATAGGATATAGGGGGAGACATTGGTCTGGGCAGGCACCCTAGTGAGTCGCCGGGGCTGAGCCCGTCCAGAGGACAGGCCACCCAGCCCCAAGGCACTCACTGCACCCGGCTACGGGGTGCGCTCCCTCGGGAGCAGCGGTGCCGCTCCAAGGGAGCAGCCCGCATGAGATAAAGTTGCCTGTCCAGCCCGGAGGGGGTTGCGGTGTGGAGGAGAAGGATTTCAGTATCCTGAGGATAGAAGCACGGAACGGTGTCAGAGGTCACCGGTTGACCCAGGACCATAAAATCGGGTATCGATCTCTGCGTCTCGTAACGGCGCACACGCTCGTTTTACCGCGACGCGCTAGCTCCACCTGGGGCGAAACGGCGAGGGGGGTCGTACCCGCCCCCCGCCCCCTCGGCCAGCGCGTATGTAGAAAACCTATAGGACCGGGCCGTGGAGGGTTAAACTGGCCTCTGAAGGCCCAGACCGTCTAAAAGTCCCACACCGGCCTCTGATAAGTGATAGTCAATCAGCCCAGTTGCAGTGGTCGCTGATATAAAACCTCTTAACCCTCGCCGGCCGAGGGGGGGGGCGGGTGCCGCCCCCCCCATAGGGTTTTTTCGCGATAGCTCCGAACACGCTGGCGATAGACAGCTGAAACTTGGCATACCTGACCTTTGATCCAAGCCGCATCTTTTGACACCAACCGCATTTTTGGGTCAGGTCAGGTCACTGACCTATGACGTCATAAGTGAACCTCTGCACGGTCTTCAGATGTCGCAACTTCGCAACGCCCTCACTGCCAGAGGAGATGTCACAGGGAAATGAAACTTGCAGGATCTAGTATCCATTATGAGTGTCACAACTTGTATATCTCGGATTTTTCCTAAAGGTCATATGAGGTCAGGTCATTTTCGTGACCTCACCATTATAAGTCAATGGGGAAAAATGAAAACTGCTATTCTGGCGCCGGGAACGATCTCCAACTATCTCAAGCACACAGAATCGTGATTTGATGCACTCCTTGCAAGGTTAGATGCGTCACTTTTGCAATGTTGACCTTGCGTGACGTCATTTATGACGTCATCAAGGTCATATTGGTTTTTCGTCAATAACTCTTGATCAAATTGAGCTAGCGAGTCGGGAAAGCCACCAATGGACTCAGAAAGACCTGCCGAATCGAATGATATGCGACATGACCCCTTTCGACCAACTTCGTGACCTTAGGGTGCTGACCTGACCTTGACCTGAGGTCAATACCCCAAGTTGACCTGACCTGAACAAAAAGTATATCATTCGACGCGCCTGAGCGAGGCGAACACGATGCTGCCAAAATCGCGGCTCTGCGGCCGTTTTTTTGCGACGTTATTCACCAAAAACTGAACCGTACCTCGGGGCACTTGACCTGACCTCAGAGGTCACCGGTTGACCTAGGACCTTAAAATCGGGTACCAATCTCTGCGTCTCGTAACGGCGCACACGCTCGTTTTTTCCGCGACGCGCTAGCTCCACCAGGGGCGAAACGGCGAGGGGGGGGGGTCGTACCCGCCCCCCCCCCCTCGGCCGGCGCGTATGTAGAAAACCAATAGGTCCGGCGAGGGTTAAAAACGTTATAGGCCTGGCTGAGCCTAGCTGGGCCGTTCATGCTGATTTTTATAGTTATATTGAAAAGACTCGCTTTGCACGTTTCACGCTTGCTCGTAATGAAAAAATTGCTGGATGCCTCTGGAATTTGCATGGGTGCCAACGGCTGCGGAGGGGGGGGGGGCAACGCGTCCATCAGTTTGAGTTTATGGACGGGAGACTCCCTGAAATTTCAACCATTTTTTTCTTTTTTTTTGTCTCGATTTTTTTTACCTCTGAGCATGTTTGCGAAAACAAAGTGGCCGAAATCCGAGGAGAAATCGGATTTTGGGGGTAGGTTAGGTTTTGGACCTCTGGGACCCTGGCCCCCCCACTTTCA